AGTTATAACATCTGTCGCCTCCTTCATATTAATGTCCGGCAGATCGTACGTCTTGTTTGACGATGTAATGGCACCGTTATCGATGACCTTGCTATTATCGCATCGACCTAACTTGGGATTTATGACCGAACTTTCGCGTTTGGTATCATCGGGCATTTCGTCAAACACAAAAAAAAACACTGGTAATGAGTTGTCCTGGCGTTGCCTTTTGACTGGACGTGGTCTTGGCGAACCGGGTTCGATTGAGGTGTCTGTTTCTGAGTTTCTGTCAGATGTTGTGGAATTTGACTTCAAGCCAGCAGTTGCAGATCTAGTTTTCATCGGAGTGGTCCTTTGATGTGCGGAATTATTAATATCGACCAGAATGGCGGTGGGTGGGGCGGATTTTGGCGACATATCTCCGGGAGTACTAACACCTGCATTTTTTGAACTCCGTGTATTAAGGTTCGATTTAGGCGAAGCGCTATCGTTCCTCGAATCACGAGCGTCGATCGAGGAACCAGGTGGTGAATCATCCTTTGTTCGCTTGTTAATGTTGTTCACTTTACGCCCTCTGGCTGCGACCCTTTGAGCGATGGTTTTAAACGGTTTGGAAGACATCCTTTATCTGTGAGAGGGAAGGTGATATGGAGGTCGGTTGCATGTATCTAACTCAAAACTTGAGGATTCTTTATGTGCCCGACGATCCTTAGTCTTTAATCCTGTGCGCACCCAACAGAGTAAAGTGAAAAATTTCGATTGTTGTGGAAATCAAAGGGAAGAAACAATAATTTCAAGCAAAAAACTAAATTTGGCAGATGTATCAAAAAATACAATATTTTATAATCAAGATCACATGATATAGGCTACACATGGAATGTTATAAGGGACTCATGCTTCATTGTTTGTGTTACAAATGTGGAATGTGCCCATGTAGGGTTGTTTCCATGGTCCTATTGGTGCAAGGCATGTAGCAATTTTTTCTACAAATATTATTCTTATCATACCATTGAGAAGTTCTTTTTTGCAATTTATTATATTGTTCCGCGAATTTTGAATTGTTTTTTAACTAGTGACTGTCAATAAGATAACAACTGCAAATGACATCAATGCTTAATATTATTTATTTATATAATTTTGATTTTTCAATTTAATTAACTTGTATAATACAAAAAATATTGCATCCCATCATATTTTTCAAGTATCAAATAATCGGTTCTCTTAATTTTTCATTTGTCCCAATATGAGAAAAATGGATTTTTGTGGGAAAAAAAAACAATGGTTATCAATAGATTACAAATCAACAATTTGATAAATAACCTAACTTATATAATCCATACTATATATTTATTTGTATTTTTAGAAATTCAAATTATAAACAAATTAAATAAACATATAAATATCCAAATAATCAAACAATGAATAAATAAGTATACAAATAAACAAATAAACAAGTAAATCCAAATACAAATATGCAAATAAATATATGACCATAAATAGTAAATAATAAATATAACTATATTAAAAAAAAACTTTTTTTATTAATCTTCCAATAACTTACAAAAAAAATACTTATAAGAAGTTTTTATATTTTTTAATTAATAAGGCTTTATTGCCTTTTACTTTTTAAACCAAATTAAGAAATATTTTCTAAAGTTATTTCTAATATTCTTGTAATTTTTTATATAAAAATTAATTTATAATAATCAAAATAAATCAAGAGATAGATGCTCTTTTAATTTATAATAAAAGGTTTCAAAAGAAAACAAAATTAAAAATATAGGATTGAGAACCTTTTTCTAAAATAAATATGTAATTTAAAGATTCTATATAATAAAAAATTGATAAAAACTTTTTCATTTATTATTTTTATTGTTTTATAGTTATTTATTTTCTTAATAATATAAGTTTAAGTTAAAAACTCTTTTTATTGATCCTTTGATCACACATAAAAAAAAATATTTGCAACACTTCTTTATTAACAAAGTCTTAATACTTTCTTTAAGACAACTTGAAATATGACTTCAAGAATCCTTTTTATCCTTTTTCTTTTATTTACAAATATTTTCATTCAAAAATTGATTTTTAATAACTAAGAAAGTCAGATAACACCTTTGATATCAATAGCAAAAAAAATTTCAAAGGAAGAATAACTGATTGTAAATATCTAAAAACCATTTTAATTATTGAAATAAGAGTTTTGTAGAAATTTTTTGCAATAAAAAGATTTATTTTCTTTTTTTTTTAATTGTCTTGATTCTCTTAGAACTTTTACTTTTATAATTTTCTAAGAAATTTTATCTACTTTAGTTTGATTATTAATTTTAAGTAACATAAATCCTTATTAAAAGTGATTGTCTAATATGAAATATATTAAATTTTAAAATGCAAGCAGGTTTCTATTAATTATATTTATATATTTTAATAATATTATTATAATTGAAAAAAATATTTTAAAAACATTTGTCTTCAAAAACTAAGTTTCTTTATGAAAACATCTATAATACTATAATCAAATTTATATTTTACCAATGTGTCCAGGTAGAATTGCTTTTAAAAGAACAATTCCCCAAAAAAAAATTCATAATGTGATTTATAATAATAAAAAATATCAAAGAATAAATTTATCAAGAATCCTTTAAACAGTATTACACAGTGTTTTATAAAAAATATAATTTGCTCAGAACTCAAGTTTATTAATAAATCAAAAAAACTAGAATAATTCTTTTAGTACTAAAATTAAAAGAAAATATCCAATTTTCAAGAAATCAAATAAAATTATAATCCAAACTTTCAAAAATCAAATAAAGTTATTGTAACGTATCCACGCCTGCCCCATCAATTCTGTGTAAGTATACATAACTCTGTGTGACTATGGACCCGAAGTCCGCCCTGTCTACTATTTTTGGACTTTCCGTGTAACATCATCTGAGATCATATTTAGCGATCCCGGGCTGAGTGCCTTTCATCATAGTCAATTTGTCTTGTTCCCCCAGAATAGAAATTAGCCCCGTAAACAGTAGTAG